GTACTGTTGGGTCTCTGTATTTGAAAAGTGTCCTGAGATAACTTCTGTTATGAATTGGCGCTATACGAATAAAATTAAATTGGAATACAACAAGGAAGTGATGACATTTTTTATCCAAAAGGTCAAAGGTCAACTTCACTGTAATATCATAATGACATTGGCCATTATTCAACGCCATAACTCAGGAACAGAATGGGAGATTGTGACCATATTTCACAGTTGGTCGGACACTGAATATGTGACACTTATGACTCAAATGTCAAAAGTCACTGTGACATTAAAATAGATTTTCAGCAATAATTTAAGAATGAACTGGGCAATTCCAGATTTCACACACTGGGATGACACAATGAGTAAACATTAGCACAGTACAGGCTTTCATCTTTTCGTCTCATGCATTCTGCTTTTCACTTCCTGCCTTATTCTGAATTTTACCTGACTGCAAACAACGTATTGGAACGTAGTGAGCTAATGGTGATCCTGTGAATGACTTTCACCTCCAGCTCCTAGAGAGGCTTCACATCTAAAAATACCAGGAGAAAACAAAAGCACCACATTTAGTATAGCTATACTCTGTAAGAATGCATCGTTAGTAATGAACATGTACCTGTTTAACCAATATGTCTCTGATAATCCTTCATTAATCAATTCGAATGTGATATACCATTTAATAAATTCTTTCAAAGTATTCATAACATATATTATGACAGACATTGATGTAAAAACAACTTGACTGGTTGGTGGAGGCATACAACTTCTAGTTACTGTGTTGATTTCTTCCCTTTCTTTTTTGTTTCCACTATAAAGCACTTTTGTCATATATTAATAAAGTTTGTTTGCCCATAGTACCGGTCCATCAACCACCGTGTGGATGCCAGCTCACTCCGACTGTATCGATGGTACTACTCCAGGATATGCCAGTGGTAAGTTTACAATCTAAATCTAAATTAATGTGTTCAATTTTAAAACTTTTCACCAAACTAGGGTGGCCAGGGGTAGCAACTGCCACCTAATGCCACCCCTCTCAATCCACCTCTGATGATACTGCACTGTACTGAGTTTATTTGCAGTAAGTAGAAGTGACAGTCTTGGGGCAGAGATATTCAACAAGTTAAATTTAATTGACCTTGTGTAGGATGCAAAAGGGAGCACATGGTTTCTACACATAAACCTCAAAACCTTACAGCACAGGGAAAACGTAGCTTTGCTGAATTAATGATTTAGAGTAGGTCTGTCAAAAGCACAGTTTCTGCAGTCAGAAGTCTTAAATGGCTCACATAGCTCCTTAGATAAGGCGCAGCTTCATTTATTGCCACAAGCTGCTTCATGCAAATTGAGGCGTATTTATTTATTAATAACATGTCTAATACTGTCAATGCCATCCGCTCACCGATCTTTCCCTGCTCCAGGAGCTTGGGCCTAACCATCGCAGTGGTGTTGTTGCTGGCATTTATTGAGCGTCCGTCCTCCCTGTCCGTTTCTTCGGACCCCCGGCATCGCTCTCCACCCTGGGAACCTCCTTGTGGCCTCACCGAAAGCATCGAGATGGTCTGCCTCATCATCTTCTGTCTTGATCTTGCTGTCAAGGTAAGCAAAGCCGGGGTGGGAAACACGTGCTCCCAGGACAGTTGTCTGATTAAACAAGGGTTTCAATATGGGTTTTGCCATGGGATGTTTCTAATTAATCTTGCAGCTATTCCAATTTATTTCCTACCTGTTTGTCCATTTTTACCAGTGCTTTACTCAGGCTGTTTTGTCTTCAGAGCTACCTGATTGGCTGGGAGGAATTCAGAAAGAACAAATGGCTGATTGCCTACACAGTGGTCATTTCAATCTCTGTCATCGACTGGGTGTTGTCTGTCAGCATGGTGTGTGATGAGGTGAGGCTGTCTTCTGTCATGCTTCTCTAAGCATGTTGTGCAACACAGAAATTAACACTGAACTAATACATGAGAACTGTTACTTACTACACTTATACCACATTAAAAAGGGGAAAAAAACATTATGTAAGTTTAAATGTTTTTTTTTCAATTGATGGATTTTTCCCACATCCATGCAAGTATCCCAACATGCATTAATTTTGAATTAAACTAAATTCGTAATTAAATATACTACAATAAGTTTTCAACTGGTTATGAAACTGTCTCAGTTTAATACTGTTGGATTTAGAAGAAACACTACTGCTTTTGTCCACAGGGGATGCCAAAATCAACACACAAAAATAAATACATTTGGAGTTCAAATAACCTTTCGATTTATCAAAACAGCGCATACTTAAAAGTTTGCATTGACATTACCTTGGAGATGTAAGGACCCACTATCTGGTCCGGACTGGCAGCTGACCTGCTAGCTGCTGAGGTGACTCAGCAGGTCAGCGTCTATAATCATCCCATGGGAGAACAATCTTATCTTAGCAAACCATTTGGTAATTTACTGGTGGCTCTGATGCTACCATAGTGTTTTAAACATAAGATATAATAACCTTTGTGAGGTAAACACACATCTGACAGTCAAAATCTAAGAACTGTTTATGCCAAATCAGTTTGTCTGATTGTAAATTTATTTAAGGTTCATATTTTTATGTGCATTTATGGGTCCTAATATTTACAGATATCATTGCACTGCAGTAGACATTTATAAATATATATAAATAAAAAGAGACAGGGCAGTGGCAGTGTAATATATGATATACGTTTTTGTGTATTGTAAATATACATTACAGTAAGAATAAAAGATGTATCACAGTTGAAAGCTCTGACAAAGGAAGTTCAGCAGAATTTGTAGGGTCATCACCATATCCCAATTGCATATTAAGGGTACAGCATCTCCCTGTTCTTGTGAGTTTGCTCTCACCATGCCAAGTTCAAACTCCCAGGGATGCATCTTCAATCTTGGGATATTCTGTGTTGAGAAGAACCCACTCGATTCAAAAAAGTGATGTTGTCTTTTCTGTGTTAATCAGAAACTGAGAGTACGACGACTACTCCGGCCATTCTTCCTCCTGCAAAACTCCTCCCTGATGAAAAAGACACTGAAATGCATCAAGAGGACTCTGCCAGAGATCGCCAGGTATCTGACTTTTAAACTGCCAGGACTGTCTGATTTCTATTCATTTATAAGTCTATTTATAAGTAATCTATTTTTCAACACTTAATGTTTCCTAATTTAAAGATATAATCTGTAACATTTCCACATTAAAATGTCTCATAACACTAGAGCTATGTTCTACTATAATGTAGTTGGGAGTTGTGCTTCTTCCATTATCCCAAATGTTTCCAACAATGTTCAAACAGAAATCTGTCATTTTATTCAGGTAACACTGCCGTTTCATGGTCGCCTGTCAATGGGTCATATCCCCTTTGTGCTGCCGTCAGCGTTGTGGTTTCTGCCAGAAGCTGTCATACATTGACTTTAATATTATCTCCCTTATGTTTCGGGAATAGAAAAAATTACTGTTAGATGAATTGTTTGTTAGAAGGGGCGTGAAGACGAAGATTCTAATTCAGGGATAGAAATTATTTAGCGAGATAATATAAATCGAAGGAATGGTGAAGCTGTATGTCCTTAAATAGTAGATGGGAGGTAAGTGGGTCTGGTTTGTCTTTGATGAACGTGAGAGGAACACGATGCCTGTATTTTTTGATATGTTTTAGATGGTAAATTTTGATATGGAATGGAGGGATGAGATACTGTGGAAATCATAATTAGGGGTCGGTGACGGTAGAACCCTCCGTATAAACCATAAATAATATCAAACTGAACTGTAGATATGACACTGCTAACCAGATGTTAGGAGAAGATTGGAACTGTATTGATGAAAGCACATAAACATAGGTGGGTAACGTGGTTAGTCCAACCAAATATCGCGCCATGGAATTCCACTTGCCTGTGAATTGATTCAATTACAGAAAAATGATATACTTGTATGGTTTACTTAAAAGATGCATAGCTAAATAATTTATTGTGTCTACAATGAGAATCAGTACAAAGATTCAATAATCTCTTC